AGATTGGAGAAACTTAATTTTTCGCCCCCAAAAAAAAAACGTAAGGGGTACCACTGTCGTTTTTTTTTTCGGGCCGAATTTTTGAGTTTCGATATCTCAGCTCTGGAAGGGGCTAGAGCCTCCATTTTTGCACTCAGGTCTAAGTCTCATGGCCCTCTATCAGAATTTGGGAAGATTGGAGAAACTTAATTTTTCGCCCAAAAAAAAACGTAAGGGGTACCACTGTCGTTTTTTTTTTCGGGCCGAATTTTTGAGTTTCGATATCTCAGCTCTGGAAGGGGCTAGAGCCTCCATTTTTGCACTCAGGTCTAAGTCTCATGGCCCTCTATCAGAATTTGGGAAGATTGGAGAAACTTAATTTTTCGCCCCAAAAAAAAAAACGTAAGGGGTACTGTTGTGTTTATGTACTTGACAGGAGATGGCGCTGTAGTTCACATGATGTTACCTATAAAAGGTGTAGAGTAAGAAAGGAGGTTGTTGCACCTGCTGTCTAATTATGTGACCGTGTGGCACTGTTGCCTTGCTTGTGGGTTTGAATAAACCTTGAAGAAGTTACAAGTTTCTTGTCCTCATGATTACCAGAACTTAAGACATAACAAATTGGCGACGAGGATTTTTGCTGGTCTACATGAAAGATGTCTGCCGTTGCTTCTTTTCCTACTCCATTCTTGCCATGCCCTGGTGAGCCGTCTATCCCCTTTGACGTCTGGTTAAAGATGTTCGAGAATTATTTGCTTGTTGTAAATGCATCAGGAGATGACTGGCCAGTAGCAAGAAAGCGAGCTTTGTTTCTTCATTGTCTGGGAACAGAAGGCCAGAGACTGTTCTATACTTTACCAAACCAAGGAGAAACAATGGAGGATGCTATTGAGACTTTGAAACTACACTTTATTCCTCGACGTAATGTTGTGGCTGAGCGTCATGCATTCAGAAAGAGGATTCAAGCACCAGGGGAGACAATCCTACAGTATGTTGCTTCTCTTCGGGACTTGGCCACGACATGTGAGTTTGCATCTAATAATGATGAAATGTTGCGAGATCAATTAGTGGAGAATGTAAACAGTCATCGTGTTAGAGAACGTTTGCTACTAGAGACTGATTTGACTCTTAACAAGGCTATTACTATTGCTACACAAATGGAGGCTGCTGCTGAACAAGCTAAACTTTTTTCAAATCAGACTTCTGTACCTGTGCAAGCAATTCAAGGAACAAGTGTGCCTGCTGTTGATCGTTACAAAAGACAATCAAGTTTGAAATCACCTCTGTCTGTGCCTTCAATGTCTGTTGCTACTTCCTTGGCTCGTGCATGCTATCGATGTGGATCTACAAAACATCTTGCAAATGATTCCAGATGTCCTGCAGTTTCTGTAAAGTGCAATAATTGTCAAAAGTTGGGACATTTTTCAAGAGTGTGTCGTTCACAGCAAGCACGTTCTGTACATGAAATTGAACTTCCTGAGCTTCAGATACTTTACATGCATGATTCAGTACCTAATAAGATAAAGTGTACTACTACTATCATGACTGCATCAGCTTCTGTAACTGTGGAGTTGATTGTGGATTCGGGATCTTCCGTTTCCATTCTGCCAAAATCTGTGTATGAAAAACACTTTAAACAAGACTCTTTGCTGCCTCCTCCTGTTAAATTGGTGACGTATTCAAGAGATCCAATACCAGTGCTTGGCTGTCTACCTGTTACTGTTACCAGAGATAACATGAACTGTACTACATCAATCTTTATAGTTGAATGTGGCACTGCTCTTCTTGGAATGGATTTAATTAATGGATTGCATCTCAAGTTTGAAGGTTCTTCCATACTTCCAGGAATGGCTTCAGCTCCTGTAATGCGACTTTCTGCTTCTGTGCCTGTTGCTAAGTTGGGATGTGCAAAAGGATTTGTGCATAAGGTAAAGATTTCTTCAGTGGTGAAACCTGTTCGTCAGAAACTTAGACGGTTGCCATTATCTGTTCGAAATGCTGTCAGTGATGAACTTCAACGCCTTCTTGACTTGGGTGTTATTGAACGAGTGGATGCATCACCGTGGATTTCTCCAATTGTAGTTGTTCAGAAGAAGATGGGTGGAATTCGTATGTGTGTAGACCTGCGAGAACCAAATAAAGCTGTTATTGCGGACAGTTATCCTTTGCCCCATATTGATGAGATGATGTCTATGCTGCGTGGAGCAACTGTCTTTTCTACAATTGATTTAGAGAATGCCTACTTCCAGCTTTTGTTACATGAAGAAAGTCGTGATCTGACTGCGTTCATCACTCATGAAGGGCTATTTAGATTCTGTCGAGTACCTTTTGGCCTTGCTTCGGCTCCATCTGCGTTTCAGAAACTGCTAGCAACTGTACTACAAGGATTGCCAAATGTAGCCAATTATTTGGATGATGTCATTGTCTGGGGACACACAAAAAGTGAACATGACCACATGCTCAAAGTGGTTATTCAGCGCATACAAGATGCAGGCTTACAGTTGAATGATTCAAAATGTCACTTTAATAAAAGCAGTTTGCGTTTTCTTGGTCATACTGTATCTGCACAGGGTATTCACCCAGATGAAGATCATCTTAGTGCAATGCTTCATGCTCCCGTTCCTAAAGATGCACATCAGCTCCGTTCCCTGCTTGGATTGTTGTCATGGTACAATAAATTTATTCCAAATTTCGCTACAGTTGTAGAGCCATTGCGTGCTTGTATCAGACAAGGATCGGAGTTCAGCTGGTCAGATGAGGCTCAGAAGAGTTTCAGTACTGTAAAGGAATTGTTACTCCAAAGCCCTGCGTTAGCATTGTTTGACCCTAACTTGCCCACTGTCGTTTCGACAGATGCATCAGATTATGGACTAGGTGCTGTATATTCTCAAATTCATGAAAACAACACAGAGCGCATTGTTGCATTTGCTTCAAGAACATTGTCGAGTGCTGAACGTAAATATTCAACGATTGAAAAGGAAGCTTTAGCATGTGTCTGGGCTGTTGAAAAATGGAGAACTTACCTCTGGGGTCGGAAATTCCTTTTACGTACGGATCATCAGGCCTTGACAGTGCTCCTCTCCTCTAAAGGCACAGATCGCGCTGGGATGAGAATCGCCCGTTGGGCAGAGCGACTCCTGTGTTTTAATTATGAGGTGAATTATCATCCTGGCTCTAAAAATCAAGTTGCTGATTATCTTTCACGCCTACCCTTGTCTGCTTCTGATGACGATTTCTCTGACACTGAACCAGAGTTTGTTGCATTGTTGTCCTCTGAAATGTCTGCTGTGTCTCCAACTGAATTTGCTTGTGCCTCTGCATCGTGCTCAGAAATGACTGCATTACGTGCTCAGATAGTTCGTGGATGGCCTTCTTCATCAGCTGCTGTGGATGTGGCTCTACGTCCATATTTCCAAATACGTCATGAACTTACTGTGCAAAAGGATTATGTGTTCAGAGGGTCACGTCTTGTTGTTCCTGTTGCATTGCGCTGTGTTTTGGTGAATCTGGCTCATGAAGGACATCAAGGAATAGTGCGGACGAAACAGCGTATTCGTGAACTTTACTGGTGGCCTGGCATTGACTGCTTGGTTAATGAACAAATCAAGAATTGTGAGGTTTGCTTGTCTTCTGATAAGGTTACAACTGTTCGTGCTGCACCTTTACAACCTGTACCTTTTCCATCTATGCCATGGGAAAAAGTGGCTGTTGACATTGTTGGCCCATTTGAAACTGCTACTTGGGATTGTCGGTACATTATGACATTGATTGACTATCATAGTAAGTGGCCAGAGGTAGCATTCACTTCTTCAATCACAAGTAAAAATGTGATCAACTTCTTGACATCAGTCTTCAGCAGATTTGGAAATCCTCATTACATTGTATCTGACAATGGATGTCAGTTCAAGTCAGTGGAGTTTGCAGCATTTCTGAAAGCTCGAGACATTCAACACATATATACATCAGTGTATCATCCAGCTGCAAATGGAGCTATTGAGCGATTCCATCGAGTCCTGAAAAGTGCTATTCAATCTGCTATTCTGTCTGGAAAGCCATGGAAATCAACAGTAACAGAGTTTTCTTCAAACTTACCGTGCTACTACCCATTCTGTTACTGGACTGTCTCCGTCTGAGTTACTCTGTGGCAGGAAAATGCGTACCCGTCTTAATAAGGA